GTATCCATTAGAGGTGTAGTATCCATAAATGCTTTTTCCTGATTTTGGATTGTATCCTCTATTATAGGTTCTTCCTCTGTGAGCATCATTGTTTCATGCTCAGGTATGACAGCTTTACCTTTGTCAGATGACTCAGGTATTTGGGAAGTGATGGTTGGTGGAGGAATATTGATTTGAGATGAAGGTACTCCTTTCAGATCTAGTTGGGATAATTTTGAAATTAATTGATCCATAAGGGATTTATTATTTTCTCCAATGTGAAATTTATTCTTATTTAACTCAGGAGGTGGTTTAAATAATACTGATTTAGGAATGAGAGATATAGTAGGTGTTTCTTTGGATACTATTCTCTCTATCCTTTCAGTTTGCTTTCCAAGAGATTGTAAATATAGGTTTGTATAATTATTCTGCTCTACAATATGAGGTATGTATTCCTGTTTTTTATTTATTTCTTTAGGTATGGCTTTGTATGGTGTAGCCACTATATCATAGAAGGATGAGGAGTGTACAGGTTCATTCTTTTTTGGAATGTCTGCTTTAAGTATAATACTTTTCTCAGGTGGATGTGTACTAGCTGTTGTAGTACCATCAGTACTTATATATGTTTTTTCTTCTATTGTTTGAATTTTATTGAATGAGGGAATAGTAATGTTTTTCTCTAAACACATATCCTTTAGCCAGTGAAAAAATCCTATATTTAATCTTTCTTTGTGTAAGAACTTATTATATTTTTTATGTATTAATTCCAGTAGTCTAGGTAGCTGAAATCTTTTTAAATACCATTCTCGGATATTTTTGTTTTCTTCTGATAAATAATCTTTTGTAATAAAAGTTTTATTTAATTTTCTTTGTTTCCTTTCTAGCTTGGCTGCTAGATAGGCTGCTATATACTCTTCTGAATATTGATTATTATTTATATCATCCTCAAGTTGTAATGTACAAACTTGGAAATCTTGTAAATCTTGTAAACTTGTAAACTTCGCCTACTCTCATCACCATCCAAACTTCATAGCACTGTCACAGTTATCTGGTAGTATTTTATTTTTCATTTTTTTTTTACAAATCCAAATTACTTGAAATTTAAAGCGTATGTACATATTAGTGATGCGCACCTAATAAAAATATGAAAAAAAAAAATCACAAAATATAAATTGATCAAAATTCCCCGTAAATTTGTGGGGGCATTTTGATCAATTTATATTTTTCGAATTATTTTTTTATATTTTTATTAGGTGCGTCTCACTAATATGTACACACGCTTCAAATTTCAGATCATTCCGATTATAAAAAAA